GGAGGAGGGGCTCTGTAAGGAAGTGGCAGATTTCTTCCGGCTGTGTATTTTCAAATTCGGCACTCGAGCTGGTTTCTCCAAAATTACCTACCCCACCTTTAACTTACTAGTAAATATATCTTCGCTAATATTTAACATAAGGTTTATCATTCTTCCTGCCTTCACATGATACAGGGATTCATGAAGTGAAGGTGTGGGTAGCAGATACTGTAAGATTCACCCACAATGAGTCATGGAACTATGCAAACTGGTTTCCTGACTTTCCTATTGTGTTGATTCTGGCTGTGTGCACATGCACGAATACAAGAGTCAGGTGGCACAGGTACTTAAACCAATAGCACTACACCGCTGCATGGAACGAATTGTTGTGGGCTGGGCTGGGTCAGAGTCCAGCCCGTTCCTAACTCATCACGTTTAATCTTGCCTTCATGGCTCATATAGTCTGCTGATGTTTTTTTTCTCTGTGATGTTTGTGTTACAGTTGTTGGAGTAGATGGTATTACAGGATTCTTTTCAATGTTCTCAGTGAGAAGCTGTTTGAATAACCTGGAGAGTGTGGGATGGCTGAGAGTGTTTCTGCAATGGATGGCTCTGACGAGGAGGTAAACTATTAAATAACTAAAACATTTCAGTACAAATAGATGTTGTCATAGACACTATTGTGAATAGGTATCATTAATGAGCTCATTATTATGTCAATTAAAAAACATTTTTTTATTACCAAGGAATATTATGATGTATCAGATTCCTTCCCTGACCCGTGCTGTGAGGAAGGAAAGAGCACTCCAGCAGCACCACAGTCGGACCGTAAGTGTGACTGTCAATAACTGATCTATTGTAATAAATATATATGCAGCGACATGTAAAGATACTGAGATGTACTTTTCTTCTCTTATGACAGATGTTCCTCTACCAGGGGAAGTAAGAGTTCTTAATTCTGACCAGAAGACAGATTCTCTTGGCTTTCCACCCACTGAAAACTCTGCTGGGTTTAGACCACACTTAGATTACTCCTGTGAAAAACACAGCGGCAGTTTGACTGTTGATGACTCCAGCCCTGTGAAGGTTGATGGACTGGTCCCTGACACTGAGTATACCTTCAGCAGCACAAGGATTGCAGACAATGCAAATCAAAGTAAAGCAGCCTCGCTATCTGTCTTCACAGGTAAATCTGAAAAACAAATCCATACAAATCTAATATGTTTGAAGTGGTTTCTGAATCTTTTGGATCACTTCCTTAACAAATCTAATTCTTACATTGAAATGTAAAAAAAGTAAAGAAAAGTTAGTTTCAGACAAACAAAGGTCACTACACATTTTTTACTTAGCATTAAAACAGCACTTTAAAATGCAGACAAACATTGACAGAATATAAATTTTCTATTTCAGTGAAACCTTTATATGTTCCCATGGAGCCCAGCCCTCCTGTGCAGATTACAGTCGACAAGGTCAGCAGGAAGTCACTGTCTCTGCATTGGGACACCCCTGCTGGTGAAGTGGAGAGTTACATTGTGACTTGTTGCAGTGAGGGAGACAGTGTGCAAGAGACAACAGACACAAACAAGATGACATTCAACAACCTGAAGCCAGGGGAGTGCTACTTTCTACTGGTTTCTACAAAACTTCGGAATGGAAGAATAAGCAAGCCAACTGTAACATCTGCCAACACAAGTAAGTCAAATAAAATCATTATTGCAAGACAATGTCAAATATGTTGACCAAAAGATGAAGATTAGAATTGAGAAGATGGCTTTAAGTGAACATGCTTCTGGGTTGATAAAGACTTTTCAGAGTTGCCTATAGAAGAATGCAGATTACATTGTGGTGGGCATTTTAATTCCCTTAACCTGTTGAACCCCGCCACCGGGCGGAAAAACGCATCATCTGCAGGAAACAGCGTCTGAGGGCTTCTTAATATTTAATAAACTATGACTGTCTGCTGCATTCGACACGGTGAACCATCAGATCCTCCTTTGCACTCTCCAAGAACTTGGAGTTTCAGGCTCTGCACTTTCCCTCCTCACCTCATACCTCAAAGACCGCACCTACAGGGTAACTTGGAGAGGGTCCGAGTCCGACCCTTGTCAATTAACTACAGGGGTCCCTCAGGGCTCTGTTCTTGGTCCCCTCCTCTTCTCCTTGTACACAAACTCGCTCGGATCAGTCATTAGCCCGCATGGTTTTTCCTCCCACTGCTACGCTGACGACACCCAATTCATTCTGTCCTTTCCCCGCTCAGAGACCAAGGTCGTCGCACGCATCTCTGCTTGTCTAGCAGACATCTCTCAGTGGATGTCTGCTCACCACCTCAAGCTCAACCTTGACAAGACTGAACTGCTTTTCCTTCCGGGAAAAGATTGTCCCACTCTTGACCTAACAATCAACATCGGCACCTCTGTTGTTTCCCCGACTCAGACTGCAAGGAATCTGGGTGTGACCCTAGATAACAAACTGTCCTTCACTGCAAACATCGCTGCTACAACCCGCTGCTGTAGATACACTCTTTACAACATCAGGAGGATACGTCCCCAGCTGACCCAGAAAGCCACGCAGGTTCTGGTCCAGGCTTTCGTCATCTCACGCCTAGACTACTGCAACTCCCTCCTGGCTGGTCTACCTGCATGTGCCATCCGACCTCTGCAGCTCATCCAGAATGCAGCGGCTCGTCTGGTCTTCAACCTTCCTAAATTCTCCCACACCACGCCGCTCCTCCGCTCCCTTCACTGGCTTCCAGTAACTGCTAGAATCCACTTCAAGACACTGGTACTTGCGTACCATGCTGCGAATGGATCTGGCCCTTCCTACATCCAGGACATGGTTAAACCGTACACCCCAGC